AAACCTGAGTAACATTAAAAAGCAAAACAAAATAAAACAAATAGGCGGTTTCAATTGCTTTGTGGGGAAAAACCATTTTCCCACAAACTTTTTGACGTCTCCTTTTATATGGCAGATATTGAAAACCCCACTCTGGGCATTTTGAAAATAAATATATACGGTTTTGATTTATGAGAAAATACGCTGCATTTTTTATTGTTCAGCTGATCCTTCCATGAAGTAAAACTCATTTCTCTGCTAAAAATCATTTTCGTGGGAACAGTACTCACTAATTAAGGGGATGTTAAGCCAACAGCAACAACAACGAACTACGGTGAAATGGCTCGTCACATTTGCTGACGCATGGAAGCGGTCGTGGGGGGCGGACTGCAGAGATGGAGAGATTATCTGCGGAGGGCAGGAGAGGATGGCTGAGACATTCCCAACCATTGAGAACACCACTGAGTCCCTTCCGGCTCAGGGCAACCCTATCGGACTGAGCAGAAAATCCCTGTCGGTTTCTGAGATTGCAAATCTTCCCTGGAGTAGAGAGCTTCCTCTTCCTCCTGCTGAGCAGCGGGTAGTACTAAACTGCTGACCTTGACATGACCCGTGGACTCATCGATAGCAGCCCATTTGGTAACCCATTACATTACCAGGGCTCCTTTTTAGTGAGCAATAAAACCCATTCATGCCAGATTATAAAAGAAGGGAATTTATTAAAGGTTGTGAGGCAACTCCTAGATTGTCTAGAACAGTCAAAGAGTCAGCATTTAAGACTCTTCAACCAACACGCTCCTCCACCCTCACCAGGAGACTGCTCTACTGAGTGCCCATTATAGTTATGCTCATCGCCATAGATTGGAATATGATTCATAACCACCCTATAGGACAGGGCAGAGCTGCCCCTGTGGGTTTCTGAGACTGGAACCCTTTACAGGAATCGAGAGTCTCATTTTTCTCCTGTGGAGCTGCTAGCGGCTTCAAACTGCTGACCTTATGGTTAGCAGCCCAATAAACAACCCCTAGGCTACCAGGGCTCCTTGCAGTTGTGTTAACCCCCTGAAAGTTTCCTTGCACTACATACCCTGAGTACTAGATGCTGTAATCTATGTAACTGCTGACCCTCAAAACTGCTGGCCCCAAGACTTTCTCACATAGCTCACCTGTAAATTAAAGCCTCATGCTTGGTAGGTCACAAGAGATTAGAAAAATTTAGTCTCTAAACTGGGAGAGGGGAGGCATAATGTAAGACAGTTCCTAACTTTGGGAATGGTGTGACCGAATAGCCACAAAGCAGGGCTTATACGCTCCATCATCTGCTTTTCCAGGGGGGGCTAAGAAGTGAACAGGTCTGATTGATTAGATGTTAAAGCTGAAAGAGCACTCTAAATGAATCCCACTTTTCAGATTTGCATAATATGATATGATGTGGCATGGTGAGAGAGAGAGAGACATGGAAAGATTGGTCCTTGATGGAGGGAGAGTTTTCTCCTCAGTTAGAAGGAAAAGGTAAATGAAGATTTCGGTGCATTTGGTTATAGTCTTTCCATTTAATTTAAGACAAGGTCGTCCTCCTCAAAGTTATGGCCTTAAATCAGGCCCTACTCCTTCCTTCTGCCATTACTCAGAGTAAGAAATACATTTTCATTGTGACCCCATTATACATGTAAATAGTAATTAAAATAAAATCTCACAGTACAGTATTTTTTATTCTTATGGGATCTTCCTTCCTTCCTCTCTCCATCCTTCTTTCCAAAGTGAAGCCCAGCACAGAGTTCCTTTTCCTGCGTAAAAGAAAGGAATCCTGTCCAAAGGTCCCTTGAAGCCCTGGTAGCATATTGGTTACATGTTGGGCTGCTAACCACAAGGTTGGCAGCTCAAAACCACTAGCTGCTCCTCAGCAGAAAGATGAGGCTTTCTGCTCCCGTCAAGCCTGACAGTCTCGAACCCCTGGGAGCAGTCTGACTCTGTCCCAGAAGTCACGGTGAGTCGGCACCAACTCGATGGCAGTGAGTTTGGTTTGGGTTTTTTAACCTTAATAGCAGGGCAAATATGACTCCAAAGCAGTAACGAACCTTCCTATCTCAGAAAATTATATAAAATAGCAATATAAAGTTAGTTAAAATTAGTAGTTAAAAATTATGTCTATACATTATATTAAAATTTTTCAAAATAATTTGCTTCCTCATATTTTTTTATTTTGGGGGGAATTATTAATACCAACATGAGTCTCTAGGGCACTATGCACACTCTAAGAAATAGAAGCACCCTATAATCATTACCCTGGTTAAGTCATAAAACATTTTGAAAGCTTGGAAGGATCCCTAATCCCTGAAAATCAGCCTCCCTACCCTCCACATGCAATCCTTACTTTACTTTTAGGAATAATCATTTTCCTGCTTTTCTTGGTTGGTTTACCACCTGTCTGTGCAGCCCTAGAAGCATGTTCTGTTACTTTGGATAAATGAAGTAGCACACAGTAGATGTGCTTTTGCACTTGACTGTTTTCATAGGATATTATGTAGACATTAGTTTTAATATGATTTCCATGTATAATTCCACTGTACTGACAGACCATATTTTTTAATATCCATTCTGTTGTTGATGAACCATTGGCTTGTTTTCACTGGGCCACGAGAGTTCATGTTTCCTTACATCTAAGCAGCGGTTTCTCTAGGGTCTGTATCTCGGAGTACAACTGCAGGATCAAAAGGTCTGATCATCTCAATATTACAAGACGAGAAACCTCAACGTACACGCCCACTAGCCCAGTGTGCTTCTTTCCCATTGTGCTCTACCACAACTTGATAATGCTACATTTCTTAATTGTTGACAATCTGATGGGTGTGTGTTGGTATTTCATTGCAGTTTTCATTAGTATTTGCATCTTCTTCTCTGTGTATTCATTCTTTGGAATTCAGATTTATATTGTTTCATTTTAAAATACTGGTTAGGATTCACTAAACGGATTTCAGGAACCTCAGTTTATAAAACAATGGATCTAGGGCATATTACTTTACCTTTATGAATCTATTTCCTTAACTGTAATTTAGGGAAGACTATTTCATATGGTTATTATGATGATTTCAAGGGACTGGAAAATGTACGCTCCTCCCCCACCCTCCTAAGAAAATAAAGACATATCCATATGCTGATCCCTACAACCTGTGAATCCCAGCTCGCTGTTTTTGGAGCAAAACTCCTAGAGATTTCATTAAGGATCTTGAGTTGATAGTCTCCTAGATTTTTTGGATGGGATCTAAAGCTCCTGAAATAGCCTTTGAAGAGAAGAAGACATACAGAGAGAAAATGTGACGTGAAAGCGGAGGATGAGATTGGAATGATGTGGCTCTGAGCGGAGAAATGGCAAGGGTGCTGGGAGTCATGGGAGGCTAGGAGAACGGCAAGGAGCAATCCTCGTCCTCGGGCCATGGGGGAGTGTGGCCCTCCCGACACCTTGATTCCACACTGGTGGTCTCCGGAATTGTGAGAAAATCAATTTCTATTGTTTTAAACCACCAAGTTTATGGTCATTTGTTCCAGTAGCCAAAAAAATACTTTAAAAATTGAACACCAGTAGTCAAAGAAGATATTATAGGTGAAGCTCATCTATGGTGTCAAGCATGAACTAGATGCTCAATAATGGTAACTATGATTCAAGAAGAGAGAGAAACAAGGCCTGCCTCTAAGGATGGCCAACAGCTGGACTGCTGCCCAAATCTCAACTAATGTTGCCATTTTGGTTACCTTTGAACTCTCTGGAAACAGGGCTTCCTCCTGTGGAGTGCCCACCAGCTGTGGCTGTTGAGCAAGCCTCCCAGGCGACTTTCCCTTGGAATCTGAGTGGGTTTCCCTGCACGTCCGCATGGATGCTGACCTCGAGCTTGGACTCAGAAACATCTGCTTCACGTCTTAGAGACAAAGCGCCCTGACGCAGGAGGCTCTCATGGGCTTAGAGTTGAAGGTGCCACATCAAGCAAAGTGAGGGCCCATGAGGAGCGATGAGACCCTGGGAACGTCCCCCTACGTCAGCGTCGGGGCTTGCTATTTCCTTACTCTTGTTAAAGGCGTCCTTTTCTTTTGTGTGATGCTGCTGATGAAAAAAGCAGCATGGTAAGGTATTAAAATACATTTTGTAATATAGAAAAGTGTTTTGCCCACAGAATCTGTGGTAAAGGTTCATTCTGAAATGCTTATTATCATGAAGGTGGGGGATAGTATGAAGACAAGGATGCCACCATAGGCCTGGTCTTTGTCCTTTATGTCTGATCCCAGCAATTGCATGGAGATCACATCCTGGTCTGCAGGAGGATGGGGAAGCAATAGAAAGAAAAAGGAGTGGAGTCTTCTTTATCAGTAACAATGACGGTTTTCAACAACACTGATTTAATACCCGCTTTCTAGAAATAACCATAAACTTGTCCTTGGCTTTTAGTCAAAGGGCTCCTCTTCCAGGAAATCATCTGGATCTTTGGTGGGTAATTGGGAACTTTGAACAGCATTCTAAATACTGAAACTTTCAAGTAGTTCTTCCAAAAATCTCCATGTTGTTCTCCCGCCCCCCCACCAAGCCAAAACAGATATTCCCGTGCTTGAAATGCAATTTCTAATTTATTCTTAAGGGCTAATTTTCAAAATGAAATTGTTTGGATGATTGGTTTGCAGTAAACATGATGTACAAAATTGGTTTCTAAATTTAGAGAAAGGTTGAGTCTCCTCTTATAACAATCAAGAAATAATAGAAGTATTAATGATAATTCAGCTCCCATAATTAAAAAGTCAAATTCCAAAATAACAAGCAGAAGTCAAGGTTAACAGGTGGTTGCTCCACAGTTTATAATTTTTGCAAATGGCTACCTTCAGGTTTGTTTCATGGCTAAGACAACTTCCAAGGTGTAATTTACCAAATGATAGTATATGTGCCACATGGATAATCATTGAGATCCATACTCTTGGGGGATGTAGTAGTATTGAGTACAATTTAAAGATATAATAAATAGTGACAAAAATCCTAAGAATCATAAAACAAAGGCAAAGATGTTTAATAGACATTTTGATTTCCATGTCACAGATTTTTAAAGCATGGGAAACTAAATTATAGTCATACATGTAAATGCGTTTAAGGGAAAAGTCTTATTCGTATATAATAGGAATTGAAGACAGGCTCTAAATCTGAAATACAGTCGACTCCATGTCTTTCCTTGGAGGTTTTTGAGGACTAATTTTTGGAAATATCTCTTTGGCATAAAATGTTTTATGAAGGCCGGCTTCTCGAAGTGCTAACTCAAAGCGCAGTCTAGGGTCAGAAATGATCTGTCGAAATGAAATACAACATTAGTGAATAGAAATTTGTTGAACTAAAGAACATTTATCACTAAATTCTGTATTTCCCCAAGCTGCTGTTCCCTCCTTGATAGTTGGCTAGATGACAGCAAACTTTGTGTATAAAGATGATTATATACCCGTCACTTTATAATGTAAAAATTCCAAAGTTTTTGACATTTTTCACACTTCTAGTACTTCAGTGGTATCTGCATAGAATACATTTTAAAAACTGTATAGTTTCTTGATTCGTCAAAACACAACCCATTAAAATCAGTAAGAGGAAATAATAGATGGTTACTATCTGGTACTATCATAGATACATGTATTTATTGATAACTGAAATTTAAAAGTACAGAATGTTGGTACTGAAAATAAAAAGCCACAACCTTGTGCATCTGTCTTGAAACAGATTTTTTAATTTCTCCATCATTTGGCAATATGTAAATCAAGTTTCAACACATGGCCATGATGTGGCGAACAGAATCAATGGAAGGTCTCCTCCGGGCCGGATTTCTATTTTCAGCAGAACTAGAAAATGCCTCCATCAACCTGATTCTAAGTGGGAATAGACAGATGAGTAGTTCAATTTCTGTTTTTATTTACAGCTGATTGGATCTTATTTCTCTTCTCTCTTTCTATGAATATTAAATGTCAACAGGCTCTGTTTGCGATCATAGGAAGGTGGCCCCATATGGATCTCAGCTAATGAGGCATTTTCCATGGACTCGAAGCCTCGGTATAAGTGTAATAAGCTGTCGAAAGCGTCCCCTCCCTCAAGGAGCTCTTAAACTAAGGAAGGTAATAAGACTGCACACAGAAAACCTATAGGTCTGCATCTTTGATGGATACTTTGAGCGTAGTCAAATATGGAGGCACGTCTTCTAAGTGCCAAAAGAATGAGGGTGGCCTCAGGTAAAGATGGGAACTTGAGCTAGTCTTATAGTTCAACGTATTCTTCCAAACAGCAGAAGGGGTATGAAGTAGGACTTAGCAAGAAAGGGTGGCCTATTGCAAACATAGAGGTGAAATGGGTCAATTTGGGATTTGAGCGCTGGGTGCCAGTGGGCAACAGTGGAAAAGGACACTTCTAAACCTGGGGCCCAAACCTAAAAGTCTTGAAGGTTACAGCAAGGAGTCTGGGGAGCTTCTGGGCATTGTCTTTATTTCTATTTTTAACATGAAAGGAATATTATCATTGTGATTGCATAAGAAAATAGATCTGGCTGTAAGTTCAGGATAAATTAACATGGCCGTGAGAGAAGAGGGGAAGGCTGGGAGGGGGGTTTGGCATCTAGTACAACTGTCTGGACATCTGAACTGGCTGGGCCACAGGGAAGAAATCTCTGTCAGAAACACTATGAAGGGAAGAAGCAAGAGACTTTGGCAGCAACTGATTCGATCCAGCATCTAGGGATGGTGAGGAGTATGACCCAAAGAATAATACAAATGTTTGTGCAGAAGAAATGACAAATTCAAGCTCTGGATCCAGGTGTCTCCTCTTCTCTGTCAATATAGTTTCTCTGTGCTTCTCATCTCCTCTCGGGGATTCGTGGTCCACCTGTATGCTCTGGACTCTCAAATGATTTGGAGGATTTGCTTCTCTCCTCAGCTACAGAGGTGTGAGATTTGAAATAATTTCCTTATTTTATTGTTGAACTGATAGCAAGTGAAATGTAGGTCTCTCTCTGATCTTGACTACCAAGTCCCCAATTGCCCTCCCGAGGGGCAAAGTGATTAGCTACTTATGTGACTTAAACATAACCTGAATGAGACAAACTCTCTTTCTAAATCTGATCTTAATTGGTCAATGCTATCACTATTTAATGACTATAATTTCCTGAATTACTACTCGGAGCCAGCCCTGGTGGCATAGTAGGCTAGGCTTGGTGGCAGCAAGATGAGACAGTCTGCTTGTGTAAAGATGTATAGACCCGGAAACCCTATGGAGCAGTTTATCTTGTCCTATAGGCTCACTCTGAGTCAGAATTGACTTGACAGCAATGAAGTTTGTGGGTAACCATCCAACATTCTAGGCAGTTGTCATTTGTCATCCAGATGTCTAATCAGATCAAAACTTCACAAAACTAAAATCAAACCCATTGCCATTAAGCCAATTCCCTTTCCTGAGGACGCTGGAGAATGGCGTGGAACTGCTTTCTTAGGCTTCTGAGACTGCTAACGCTGATGGGAGCCAGGGTCCACACCTTTCTCCCTAGGGAACTGTGACCTGGTGATACTTAACCCACTGCAACAGCAGTGCTCCTGGTCTCACGAGAACCTGACAATCATGTACCTAATGGATAAAGCAAGCAAGGTTTGAAGATGTTAATCGCATATCCTATATTCACACCATTGCTAAATAGTGACTGTGTGTTTGAATCCAAAATTCAGGTTCTTGTCAAAATTCCACTTGCCTTCTTTGGAATTATCCTTATTTTCTTTATTTGCTCCTCATCTCTGCTACAACCAATCTTTCCACAACCCCCACTTCACAAGACTCCACTATCTTTAGAGGTCCTGGTCCACCCCCATTCTCCATTAAGAACACATTGTTAAACTGTACATCTACCTGCTGTAAAATCTCACTTCTGCTCACACTAGGAGGGCCAAAAGCCTTCGCAAAGCACACCGACCACCCTTTTCCCATTCTGACTCCAACCTTTGTCTTAGGCCTATGTCCCAGCAATCAGCCTTCAAGGAAGGGCCTGGGTCATACCCCCTTTGGCTTGGTAAAATCCTCATTCCTCATTCCAGGTTTCTGCGAGTTTTCCAGTTTCTGACTTTACCCACATGAAAGCCCAAGTTGCCCTCCCCGCTTTGATTTGGGGGAGATATGGTTGAATTGTTATCATTTACTCCTCGCCATACTTGTCCCCCGTGAGCCTCTGGTACTGGTTTTATGAAACTGATGGCTAGGACATAGCACAAAAGATTGCTCTCTGACACCTTCTCTTACTGCTGCAGTCCAGGTTAACCGGTCCAATCCCCTATCCAGGCCCGCAAACTTTTGAGATGGAAGAGCCAATCCTGTCCCTCACAACAATTTACAAATTATTCAAGAGCCATAAACGTATTTTCTCAAACAAATGAAATCACTATTATCTGAGTAATATCCTTTAAATTTTTAAATTTTATTTCAGAGCCATATGTTGATACCAAAAAAGCTGTTTAGGCTCTCGAGCCGCACTTTGCCAAGCCCAGCCCTATACTTACCTTCAAAAGAGAAGACCCCCTGCTCCAGGCGCTGTATCTTCCGTGCTACTTTCCCTCCCAGTCAAGGACCACTCTTTCTTGCCCAGGTCGTATCCCTGACCCTTTACAGGACAGTTTATAGCACTTCTACCCTGTTTCCCCGAAAATAAGACAGTGTCTTATATTAATTTTTGCTCCCAAAGATGTGCTAGGTCTTATTTTCAGGGGATGTCTTACTTTCAGGGAAACAGGGTAGTATGTACTCCATAAATATTTGTCTAATTAATCAATGAATAAATTATTCACCTTTGTATTTCCTAGCACAGTACGCAGCACATAATAGAGGCACATTAGATTTCTTTGGCAGTGGAAGAATTAATGAAGTGTCTTACTTTTCAAATACACAGTTATTTACCTTCTCTCCTTTGATTCCTAAAATGAACAACTGCTATCATCATTAACTTCAGGATATCTAATCATTCCTCAGTCACCCCTCCTCCCTCTTTTTCGGTCCACCTTTTTTTTTTTGGTCCCTTATCAGTTCTAGACACAGACTAAAACCATACGTTTTTAGGAATGGTTAAATGACGTTAATTTATCTCCCCACAGAAATGTATTATCATGTACTTTGATGTATTATCTTTTACTGTTCATTTTAATTTCTAGAAGCTTTCTTCTGCTTTGTCCTCTATCAGTACCATCAGCTGTTTCTTTACTGGGATGCGTGAATTAACTTAAGCACAAATTCATTAATAAAATAGAGAAATACTGAAGTAACAAAATAAAATATTAGCAGAGTTTTCAAATACCATTTGACAAAGGTTATTCAAATTCAACAAGTAATTTTCCATGACAGATTTCATAACGTTTTCAGATAAACCGTCTGAGTCTATGGTCATCTGCAAGCAATTTTATGATACTGAGAATCGCTCAATCATTACATGCTATCTTTTAAAAGGAAAAATCTGCTAATATGTGTGGTGTTCAAATGTAACAGACAGTAAATGCCATCCATAGCCCCAAACACACACACTTCCACGGCTCTTCTTGCCATCCTCCTGGGCTCTGCGTAAGTCACGCTACTTTACAGAAGTACCTGCTGCTCGGTGTATGTGTTCAATGTGAAGAGTGGCTTTTGAAGAAGAAATTCTTCTTCAGTTCCAATCCCCATCCTAGCTTTTGACGCCACTGTATCTGACATCATTCGAACAGGATCAAACTGAGCCACAACAGCAACCTGAGAGAAGAGAAAGCAGAGCTGCTTGGGATGAGGGACATGCTACATTCTCTGGATGACATCACCGATGTTTCGTGTCCATTAAAATTAAGGGTAAAACCTGAGCGAAGAGCAGAAAAGCAAATTGAAACCAGGCCAGTCTCTTGGGTCCTCAGAGGAGTTCATGACTTAAACACAAAACACAATACAGGATTAAAAGGCCATGGCCTATAATGCTTTATTAATGCCTGAATAATTAAAACTATGATTCATTTTCAGATAAAAACTGATCTTTTGGAAACGAAGACACAGGGAAGTTTGCATAGAACCCTTACATACTCAACTGTCCTGAGAGCAACCCCAAACAATAGTAATGCTTGTTAAACCATGCATGAGTTATGGTTATGGGACCACCCTGCAGCTTTCCGACATTGCAAACCGTCAGCTAAATCTAGATTACGTCATGTATGGGGGTAAAGTCGAGTCTGTTGACACTCTCGGCCAAGATGAGTGAATTTCCACCGTACCAGGCAATGAGACTTTCAGGGACTGTTGTAAACTATTGCTCTGTCTTCCACCGGGGTCTCCAGAGTAATTTTAACCCAAATGCCTTTGTTCTTTACAATTATACAAACCTGCACCCTTATGAAAAGTCACGAATTCTGTAAATTATATGCACCATTCGTAATACTTGCCTGATAATTCCTGAACTCAAGAATTAGCAGTCATGGAATGGCATTTATAGCAGTATAACATAGGGCTGAACATACCTTAATTATTGTAAGGTTTCTGGCCAACATCTCTTATGCCATGTTCCAAACACTTATTACAGATAATAGGCATAGACATTTTATTTTTTGGTGGTGTTAAAGATGAAAATAAGTCTAATCCAGTTATCAAAGGTTTGCTTTTTTTAAAAAACAAGAACACAGTTAATCACAGCAATGTTATGTTTTGTCCTCAGAAGGCCAATACATGACTTTACGATGGATGGATAATTTAGATTTGCTGTATCTAGAATGACTGTCTTGCATTTTTATGCCTTCGCTTTATGTCTGTCATCCGTTTTACTACTCTGTCCCTTTACTTCATCTCTACGGAAGCATGTAAGTACACTTCCTTGGGTTAGGTCCAGTCTGGCTCTTACAAACTGTGGGACGTGGAGGAAGCCCCCTAATTTCTGGGTCCCTGAGTTTCCCCTTTCATAAAGAGGAAATGGGAATAATATTTATACTACAGGGACTGGCATAAAGATTGAGTCAGTACCTCAAAACATTTTAGAACATAGATTTTTACCGAATACATACTCAAGGAATGTGAACTCACATGAACTTATGAGGCAGGTACGACTATAATTATCTCCATTTTTTTTTCCAAGGTATAAGATCCAGGTTTCCTCTTCCAGTGACCAGCAGAATGAGGTTGTGGCAAGTTTAAAAGATACCAGAGGCCAAATTCTTATCCACCATGCTGTTTTGCTCCACTCAGAAGAGGGAAACCAGTCAGTGCCCATCAGCTTGGAAATGCTACCTATGAATGCGTCCCAGCCTGAACCCATCACTTCTGGGTTCAAAGCGAAACTATTATTACCAAGTAAAACGACGTTATCACATTGCCCAAGCTTATAAATTCCTGCTGGTTCCATCTACTTTCTACGTTTCATTTCTTTTGCCTACTTTACTTAGGCAAAGCACTGGGAAGCTAATTTGTCCACCAAAACAAATAAAAGGTATCTTTAAAAAGTTATTGGTGATCTACTGGTGGACTTGGGTATTGCCAAGCAGAGATCCTATCTAAAAAAGAGTCTGTTGGTAGCACCACACAAGGTCTATAGACAGTAAACTTCCTCAGCTAGACGCAGTTTCGCTGTTGTAAATGGATACCATTTCACTAATAAGCTAGAGGTGATGGGGGAGCATTTAAATTTAGGGAGGACTTTTTTTTAAAAAGGTGCTGACAAAATTCTTTTACTATACTGAGACACTGAACTGGTTCAAGATAAATCTAATTGCACCTACAAATGAAGATCAACACCCCAATTTGGAAACATTGTATTTTATATAGCAGATGTCATGAACTATATGCCCTCATAATAATGTTATTATTAAGGGCACTTGGAGCTTTTTTTTCAAACCACCCATGAAAACTTCCAAATTAAAAACACCTGTTTCCTGAGTGCTTCTAGCCGCCTCTTTTTCTCCGCTTCTTCATGCACTTCTTGATGGGCCACTTCTTTTTTCTCCATCAGTCGCTTTTCCAGCAATTCTTGTCTATATTTAACCCTTCAAGACAGAATGGGTAAGTGTGTTGGGAACACATCACAATCCTCGTGGAGGTGACGTAGATAGGAGAATACGGTACAAGAGCACCGCAGAGGTGGCATCTACGTTTTACTTGTTAGGGGTTGACTTTGCATATCCAAATAGCAAAAGATGCTTGTCTGAAATGCAATTTACAGTCATTCTCTTACCGACCAGAGAGGCATGTGTCATGGGGTAGGACAAGGTGGAGTGACGTCCAACACAGCTCTCTCTCATGGAAATGATTTTTGTTAGCTCTCAAACTTCCTGCTGCCTGCGATGGACGGCCCTCTATTCATTGGGCTACTGTAAGCATTCGTCTACTGAGAATTTTTAACATGCTGTGAAGTGTTCAAAGGGCTACGTTATTGATGGAGTGTAAAACCTTTTTAGAAAGAATAAAATATTGTGTTGTTTTATAAGAATCAGAGACGATAATAGTACACCCAGATCATCTAGACTACAATTACTAGAACTCAAACCAAACATTGTATTGTCATTCATTTGGCCAAAGAATGTACTGTGTGTGTGCACACTCACGTGTGCCTGTGTGTGTGAAAGAAACTACAGTTGCACTCTGACATCTGTAGGTGGCAGCACAAACATGACTTTCCCTTCACATCATGTGTTCAGGCCTCCGAAGTCAGCAAGCATGACACAGGGCACATTTAAACACCTCTCTTTTCCCGGCAGCTTCCCCTTCCATTTTCTCACCCAAGCTACTTTTTGATTGAATTACCAAGATGGGATTCATCTTTTCAAAAGAGTAGGCACCTGGCTCTTGTAAAACTAGTAGGCTGTTGCTTTTGCCTTCAGTATATTGATGGTTTAGACTGAACTTTCTTGGGGATATCTGTCACCAAAGCCTTTTTGCACTTAGGATGTGCACCTGCACATACCTTCAATTCAGACCCATCGCAACCCTAGATGACCACGTAGACCTGCCCGACAGGACTTCCTAGACTGCGATCTGCAAGGGAACGGATTGCCAGATTTTCTTGCTGGTGGGTTTGAACCATTGATCTGCCCATTGGCAACCAAGGGCTTGGCCTCTGCACTGCTAGGAGTCTTCCTTCCTTTGCTGTATCCTTGATTGTATCCTTGATTCTAATTGGTGAGTGTTCACTACACACTGAGCTGTGTGCAAAGTGCTTTACATGTTTAGCTAACTGATACCTCTTCATAGCAATCAAAGGATGGGTACCATGACTGACCCCGTGTGACAAAGAAATGGAGACACAGCCAGCTTGTGTAACTTGACCAGAGTTGCACTTCAGAAGTGGCACAGCCTCAAATCAACACCCCCAACCCCCTACACACTAGTTCCAAAGCCCAGGGCCCTAAGCCATCAATCACTACTTTCCTTCTCTCTTTTCCCTCCGGACATCAGTTCATGCCAAGGTAGGGCCGGTGCTTGACAGGGCGAGCCTCTGTGCGCCCACGAGGCTTTGCTTGCCTCTTCCTAGTGGCTGGCCCGGGGAGGGCATCGCTCCTGGTGACTAGTGCCGAGGGAGTGAAGGACGTGAACGAGGGACAGACAGAAGCTCAGCAAAGGTTGCGTGAGCAGAGGCAGGCCATCACACGGTCCCCTCAGAACAATGTCTGAGCGAGGAAGACTTACAAATGGCTGCTCCCGGGGCCACCATGGAAGTAGCAGCACAGGAAGGGGGCAGAAGGGAAGCATGCTGCTGATCCTTGTGAAATATGAAACTCAGGATCACACTTAGAAGGAAAAGGCTGGGCTTCTTTCAGGGCTGAGACTGGCCTTGCCATCATCTCCAAGGTCAGTCCAGTCCAGACCGTAGATCCAAGAGCCCACAGCGCAGCTGCTCCCTTTGCGCCGGGCCACGGTGCTGTGGACAGCTGTATTTCTCCTCCGGTCTGTTTGCACTAAGGCAGGCCATCGCCTCCATAACGAGGTTCCACTCAATTCAAGCACCGAGCACAAGCGAAGCGAGCTGCTGTGCAGGTTCAATTAAAAGATACCCAGGGATTTGCCAATTACCATATGCTAATCCTCAAAACCTTTAGAAGGTTGTTTTTCCTTTGGGACACAGAGGTTGCTTGGTCTGCAACAAAGTTTTTGCCTGCTTGGTGGAACACAAATAGGTGCTCCAGTCAGGGGGGTTGTCTAGCGAGGATGGGATTGCCGGTGAGTGAGGCGTTCGTACCTGTGCTGTCAAGAAGGCTAGCTCTCGGTTAAGGAGAGCAGCTTTTCTGTACGCAGTGCTGTGCTAGGCCTTGGGGGTACAACCTACACATGCGCTGTGTCCCTGCCCTCAGTGAGCTGGCAGTCTAATGCAAACACAAAGACCCAGGCAATGATGACAAAAGATGGTTCGTGCTCTGGTAGAACAACAGGAGCAGAGGCCATGCGAGCAGCATCTATGCCAGACCCCGGGCGTTTGGGTAACCCACCCAAGGAAGTCCTGTGAAGGTGAGCTCCCCAAAAGGAGTCAGAATGCACTAGACAGGGAGAGAATAGAATGTTTTCTTTGGCAAACACAAACTCTTAATTGTCAGGAATTGAGGTCCACCTCAAACCAGTAGCATTCCTCCTAGGCAGCTTCCTTTTAGAGGGAGAAAGGGAATATTAGTTGTGTTGGGCTTTTGGTGAAGACTATTTAAACTTGAGAGAGAGAGAGGTGTGAGAGAGTGAGTGGCTGTTCCAGGAAGAAGAAACAAGTGTCCGAAGGTCCAGAGAGCACCCGAGTATGAACAATGCCAGGTGAGAGTGCCAGGAGTGGAGGCTGCGGGGGGCACAGGGGGCCAGGGTGTGAGTGCTTGGCAAGCACGGTTTGGGCTTTGTTTACCTTTCAGACAACTCTCTCCAGTCTATGGAGGATGAACTGCAAGGAGGCAACACCAGAGGGAGCAGTCCCGAGACAAGGGGATGTGGTTTTTGTTGCTGTTGGAGAGTGAGTGGATGGGTGCCAGGAGGAAGGAGGGAGAAGATGGGCATCTCCAAGTTAGGTACTCAAAACCCATTGCCATAGAGCCAATGGTGACCCAGAGCGACTCCCGGTGGGTCTCTGAGACTACAACTGCTGACAGGAGTAGAAAGCCCAGTCTTTCTCTGGAGTTGCTGATGGTTTTGAACTACTGATCATGTGGATCACAGCCCAACTTGTAACCACTCTACCATCAAGGCTCCATAAAGTCATGTGGGAAATAGAGTAAATATAAATTGTTCCTTCCTTTGTAGGCGAGAGGAATCAAGCGAAAGAAGTTAAGTCAAGGTTTCTGTCTTGCAGAGTGAGGGTTTGTATTCCTCAATAAGAGTGGGACTTGGGAAGGGGACAAGAAAGGGAAGGCAGTAGAAGGGTTTAGACACCAGGCTAATGGGTTAGGTATGAGTTCACAAGGCTCATTGTCACTAAGGTGGGACATCCTCCGTTCAATTGAGTACAAAGAAAGACAGATGGCATTCAGGAAGACACAGTAGAATAAAAAGCAAAGTGGGTCTAGGCTTGGTTCCTAAGGAAACAACACTTAAGAAAGGAACAGATGAAGAAGAAACTATCTAGGGAAATGAAGAGGAGAAATGTGTCAAAAGAAGTTAAGGGCTCGGGAAAAGCGATCAACTATGGCAAACACAATGGGAAGATCAACTCTGATCCAGAACAATCATTTAAATAAATCATTGTGTCCCAGTGTTGGCACTATCACCCCCGGGGAGGAGAGGGGCTACTGGAAGAATCCGAGATGGGGGAGGGTGCTGCAAAAGCAGGTATCTACACTTAATCATGGATTATGGCTATAGTACAAAAGTTTTTAATTGCCAAGGGGGTGGGAAGCACTTAGTAGTTTTTTTCTGGAAAGGGGACAGTAGGCCAAATAAATTTAGAAACCTGTAGATTAAATAAAAGGGAGTCATTAGTGCTCCTACAATGTTTTGAAGCCATTCATAAAGTTTCCAGTGGCTACTGTCTCTGTAGTGGGCAGCGAAGTCCTTCTTCATAGTCTGTTCTAAGTTTGGAAGCTCTGCCAAAACTTGATCACTTTGGGTCACTCCGCTGGTGTAATAGTCTGATAAAGGCATGAAGTGGTTGGCTTACAAACTTTCATAGATAGGGGGAAAAATTCACAGGAT